TGTTTTTTCTTGCGCCAATAATCGATACCTATATCAAAGTAACTACATTGTATACCAATCAAGAGAATATATCAACGAAATCAGCCTTTGCTCGTAGGCCATGCCAATCTGAAATAAAAACAACCTCGATCTCAACTTTGAGTACAATAATACTCGTAGCATAGAGATTAATGGAAATACAACCGTTATACCCTTTTCAAGTAGGTTTCATTAATTGTACCTCTAATTCACGATGGCGTCGATTGACATTGAGTTCAACACTGAATTTTTACATAATAGTAAACACAATCAAATAGGAAAAGCAAAAAGACACTGTTCTCAACATAAATAACATATTTATATAGTGTTTTATGTTTATGTATCACTTAAATTATTTACGGATCAAGGAATTTAATAAGTTTTGACAGTCCAACAAATAGCTCCTCTATCAACTACGGAACCTTCTTATAGTTTCGACTGTAAATATTTAGTTTACGGGCTTTATCAACTTTAGTTTGATATTTCCACATCGTAGGTACCTAAAGGTAATAGAAAGCCCATTTCACTGCGTAACAAAGTCTGTCAGCGTAAAATGATAAACTCTGGAGAAATAGCACTTTAGACATTTACTTTGTCATAGTGAGAAGGTGAGAGTTGAGACGTAAATAGTCAGCCCGTGACCACGGCCGGTGTAACCTAGTCGAAACATCGGGGAATATAGGTAGGTGAAAAAGCTAACTATCAAAATCTATCGCGATAATTTTACATTGTTACTATGTTATGTTCATTGCTAAGTTGTCTTAAATATTGATATGACATAATATAGGTAAATAGTTTTTGATAATTTCACCAATGTAATTTGTATATACAGGTATATTCTGTAAATTCTACTTAATACTAAATACTGCTTTTTTTTATGGGATAGGGGCAGACGAGCAGACGGATCACCTGATGGTAAGTGATTACCGTCGCCCATGGACACCTGCAACACCGGAGAGGCTACAAGCGCGCTGCCGGCCTTAGAGGGAAGGGTTGAGGGGTAGAGGGAAAGGAATAGGGAGGGGTTGGGCCTCCGGTACCCTCACTCATACGACGAAACACAACGCAAGCGTTGCTTCACGTCGGTTTTCTGTGAGGCCGTGGTATCACTCCGGTCGAGCCGGCCCATTTATGCCGAAGCGTGGCTCAAAACATACGCGTTAATTATTGTAAAAAATTACTATTAAATTGATGATTAAATTTAAGGCTAATAGTAAAAATATAATTCAAAAAAAATCAAAATCAAAATCATTTATTCAGTCTAGGCTATTACAAGCACTTGTGAAAGTCGAGAGCTACGCCAACGGTTCGTAAATCTACGGCGGGAGACCTTGTACCGAGAAGAACCGGCAAGAAACTCGGCAAGGGCTGCTTTTTTCTCCCTGTTTTATTTCATACAGAGCGTCAAGATTGAAAAATGACTTCATTAAAATTTGAAGTCACTTTCCATTACAATATAACACAATATTAAGAGTAAAACAGTATTTTCGTCAATCCAATCACATTTGTAGCCAAAGAAGCTCACCGATTAACAATTTAATATATATGAAAAATTAGCCATATTTAACTCCAAGTAGTTTTATCGTTTAAATATTCATTAATAGTATAATATCCTTTACTGAGTAGACAATTCTTAACATGGGTTTTAAACTTAGGTAATGGTAAATTTAAAATTTCCATAGGAATTTTGTTATAGTAGTGTACACCTTGACCCATAAATGACGATAGAACCTTCTTTAGCCTGCATGACGGCAAAACAAGAATTATGAGACGATATTTTGATTTCTATCAAGAATTTTTATAAAATACCTTAGTAATTTGTTATAAATTTAATACATTCTTTCTTTACTTCAGTAATTTCACTTTAATTATTTATATATGTATTTTCGCTAAATATTGCAGCTGAATTTTAAAGCGGTTTTTCTCAACCGATTACGCTTAATGTATACATACATATTTAATTTTGATACAATAAATAACTAGCTAAGTTAATTCAATATTAACCCAATATAGCGGATACCCAAGATGGCGGATCTTTAAGCACTGTCTTAATATGGGTATCAAATTTAAAGGTTCTGTGACAAAATTTCATTTAATTCCAAAATGACAGAGTAGTTATGTTTTAAGAACTCTCATAATATAGCTATTAAATAGTAGCAGAGAAAATTATGATAAAATAACTACAAATTAACGTAAAAAGGATATTCCACCAAAAACACTTTCATGTAAAGTGTTGTCAAGTTTTTTCCTTGCTCATCCTGTTTATGTTCCTTGCTCAACCAGCGACAATTTAATTCATTTGAAATTCCTCATTCAACCCATCGGTATTTCTTATCAACTTAAATCGTTCGTATTCGTTCTGAAGGCGATTGTGACTGTAGACATATTTAACGTCTATAAATTTCATAAATCGCTATCATTTATATCATTTATTGCGATAGATTTATAAATTAGACAAATAGCGATTGGTCCTTAATATCTTTGTCTTTTTAGGCTAAAAATATATCCATCATTATTTAAATACGTATGAGTATGTTACAGTTAAAACCAGTTTTTAGATAGAACGCGTTTTCTCAAGTTAGAACAAGTTTTTACTCAATGCCTTTGTAAAAACTATAATGAACGAATGCTCAAATTGTATATCAGTTAAAACTAATTCCTACTCTAGTAAGTCTACAAGACGCGTTTTTCCGAAGCAAGTCAGTGGAAACTATTTCGACCGAGGTGAATGATCGTATGTTGTTTTGATCAGTTTTACGTTACCTAATTCGAATTTATTCAAGTACATATAACATATAGCAATCGACAAATATCTATTGTCAAATCTGTGTTTTCACAAAATTACGGTAGATAGTTATTTGGTAAAATTTATTAGAGTATTCGTCAACAGCCTTATTTCATCTTATTGCATTGCCACTAAAAATAAACAGATTAAGGATTAAAATTGGTTATAACAATTTCACAGTTTTTCATAGCCTGAGGGGTCGTCACTGTATAGAATTTGATCAATACAAAACCTGTATGGCGATCAAGCCGCTTTTTGTTTTGGCCACAGTTCTAACCTAACCTCACACATTGATTGTATCAAGTTTCTTTCTTAGGTGTGATTCAATTCGAAACTATATTTTTAATCCCATATTATTTTTAATCCCAAATTAGTTTCTACAGTGCTAGTTTTCACTGAAGCTCGAATTAACAACTAGTTTTATCTGAAAATCAAATACGTCAATGATAAATCCTAGTTTTGTCTAGGTATATCTAGTTTTAATAATAATAAAAACTAATTCTAACTGGGGACAACGCGTTATATCTAAAAACGGATTTTAACTGTAACAAATACAAAGCATTTTAAATAAAAAAGGCTATGGCATAAGAAATCTTACGATTTCGTATTATTATATTCCTTTTTAAAACCATAACGTTTCGAAGTCCGAAATTTATTCAACAAAAGAAACTTTGGTATGACTTCTTTATTCCCTTGCTCCAATATGTCAGAATTCAGAAAGCAAATTTCTTTTCAAAATCAAATCACAAGTCTAGCGACGGGCGACGGATGGCGCACGAGTTGAACTAAAGCCAATATTTTATTTAAATCGCCTAAACTTTCTAAGAACGTAAAGAACACTCCTTTGTAGGTACATACATAAAATGATTTAATTTACGTTCATTTACGAGAAGTTGTTGTACTGCGAGCTTTGTTTCCAATATGTCTCTCTAATATACTCTATTTACGCGCGATTGCATAATTTGAATAGAGTACCAACCTCCATACAAAAAAAATCTCCTTTAAATAAAAAAAAAAATAAAGTTCATTAAGCTCATTGAAAATCATGAAATTGTATTATAAAAAATAGATCCGACTTTAAAAAAAATGATAAATAATACTTTTCTCAAAAGCTTGGAAATCGGTCAACAATTGGTACTCCGCCCAAAATCCGTAACTTTATTAATAGGATATAGGATAAGATATTGAATCAGAATTTAATCAAAAATATAATTGAGCCCTCATTATCTGTATTTTATTTCTTTATCTCTTCATATCAGTAACATTCAACTGTGGATTATCTAAAAGATTAATCCAAACACCTTTTGGCCCAATCCCAGCTTGGATCCGGAATAGAGAGTTCCGCAACAGCAAATCTGCTAATAAGTGATATCAATAGATAATACTGATTAATTTATACGTGTGGCTATAGACTTTTCGCAAAATCCATATAAATAGCTAATCGTCTTTAATAATACACAGTAGATTCAATTGACAAATCAAAATGCTGCGAACTGTTCTGTTGCTTTTTGTGACAACCTCAGGTAAGTTATTCTTTGTCACTTTAATTCAGCTTTGCTTGATATTGTCCAGTCGACATTTATGTAGTTAGTGTTGGCTTATTATGCATATTTTATCGTCAGAAAAAAATATGAATAAGATTCCTCCTCCTTTACTTTTGTTGATAATTTATAAAATCTGTCTGAATATATTGGCGGATTTACTGCTTTTATACTGTACAAATAAATTAGAAATCTATAACTATTATACGACCGATTTAAAATCACTATTAACTAATAATTTAAATTTTGAAACTGTATACTTAAATGTTGAACTTGGAAACAGACATGGGCTACTTTTCATCACATGAATAGAAGTTGACAGATTTGGAATAGTGGATGAAATTTGTATGGATGTTCATCACTGTAAAAGAATCGAACGTAACTTCATATTTAGGCACTTGATAAGAAAATCATAAATAATAAACAAACAACTTGATAAAAAAAAATAATTAAACTAGCTAGTAATATAAATGAAACACCTTTTAAACGGTTTCATTGAGTTTGTGTTTAGTTTTTTTGATGTTTCGGACCCTTAACAGGTTCCATGTTCACATAGGACTAAGATATTGCTTCATTGTTAGATAGTGCGCGTGACAAAATGTGAGAAATCAATAGATAGTAATATATATTTTAATAAAATTTAGGATATTAGTAAACATGTTGGTACTTTCGATTTCGATATATAAATTGAATATACCTACAATTTACATTTAAGCTTACATGGCTTCGGCGATGCCCCAAGCAGAAATTGGCGTAGAAAAAGCTTATCCTAGATACATTGAATTTCCTGATGGAGATGGCAACACGCACCAAGTAGACCTAGAGGCTGAACCTAACTATGAACTCCTAGCAGAAATTCAAAGGAATCCAGCCAACAACCGATATATATTGTTCACTAGGTAAGAGAAATTTTGTTTACATTAAATAGTTCCTTCTACGTTGCGGTAACTAAACAAAATTAAGTTATTGACTCCATAAATGCTATATTTCATATAGCTTTGTAAATCTTTTTGAACACCTTGTTTTGACAGCCCATGTTCCTTATGGATGTTTAAGGAGGATGGCCCATGATCCTTTCACGCTGGCCCAATGTGGATTGGAGGGAACGACTGCAAATGCTGTCAAGACCAACATCTTACCGTGCCTTCTGAAGCACGGAGTAGCTCGTGATAATATATTTATTGATCATCCATCCAGTGATCAACCCTTGCGAAAGTTGCTTAACAACAACAATCGCGACTGCAACGCTAATCCACCAGGCCACTGAGCTAGTCAATTAATACTTGTGCTGTCAATGACCGCTAATCTTATTAATAACCTTTTCTTATTTATGATTTTAATAAATATATAAATACTTTATCTTTTTTACGAGGAAAAACTAAATACATTGTTCTTTTTAGAAAAAATCCTCAGGATGGTCAGATCCTAATGATGAATGACGCAGATTCTATTCGTAAATCAAATTTCAACCCCCATGTGCCCACTATTGTGATTGCGCACGGCTGGCTCAGCAATCAAAACACTAACATCAACCCTACTATAAGAGATGGTTAGTTTTAAAATATTTTTAATACTAACTTCATTTTTAAAACGGGATATTTTGGTACTCCACGATCTTGCATTTTATCGAAATATCTAAAAATCAAGAAAACGTTATCCTTTAATAAGTAATCCATATTTGAGATCGTTCCGAAATGTCATGCAACTTAATAAAACTAATAACATTATTGTCAAGAAACAAATAACATCAGCATTATCATTCCACTAACATTTTGTTTCATAAACACTGATATGTTATCAAATAATCTTTAATGATTGTTTGATAATAATTATCAACGTCTGAAAACTAATAATTATCTTTCGTTTGTAGCTTATCTTAGTATACGAGATGTGAACGTCATCGTACTTGACTGGCGAAGACTTGCTCGCCTCGACTACGCTACAGCAGTACGCGGTGTCCCAGCCGTTGGTCGTGGTCTAGGACAGTTCATTAAATTCTTAGTCCAAACCACTTGGGCTAGTCTAAATGATTTTCATTTAGTCGGATTCAGTCTTGGTGCCCATTTGGTCGGTAATGCTGGTAGGGAGCTAGGAGGACAAGTTGCTCGTATTACTGGTGAGTTAACTTAAATATATCTAATTTTAAAGAAAAATACTTACCTCGAGCTGGAACTTGAACACACGACCTTTCTCAATCCTGGTTACTATTCTAACTTAACCTAACTAAAGAATTTCTCAAGCACACTTATTACTTTCGCATCTAGTGAGTGTAGTTTCATTAATGGTCAGGGAATATTGTTCAAATATTTAAAACTTCCCATATATGATTAATGTAATGCAAAAATAAAAAGGGTTCAATATTTTTAATAGTAACATAAGCTTGTATATAGTTATAAAAAATCGTTTCTGCAATTCTTCGATGTTAAAAACCAATTCATAAAACACGAAGGTAATTTGCGGTAGAAATTTTCTTACCGAATTCTTCTTCGTAGGTTTGGATCCGGCTGGACCCTTATGGAACTATAATAGAAACCGGCTCAGCTCCACAGATGCTATTTATGTAGAAGCTATCCACACAGATGGTGGCATTGTTGGGCTTGGTATCGGTTCAGCCGTTGGTGATGTTGATTTCTTCCCTAACGGCGGTAGCAGCCAGCCTGGTTGTTTAACCTCCATATGTGACCACAACCGCGCGTGGGAATTCTTCGCTTCTACTGTTATCCGGAACCATCTCATTGGTAATATGTGCTACAACAGCATACAAGTCACTATGAATAGCTGCCGTGGCGGACAATTACCTATGGGCAATGGTGATTTAAGGAAAACTGGGTATGTAAAGTTTTTATTATATCTATATATTTTTTAGTGAAAGCAATTTAAAACCGCAGACTATTATTTTACATAGTGATTATTTTTATATCGACTCAAACAAATTGTTTTTTAAATCCTTTCGAAATATATTTACTTAATTATAATAAGATTGTCAATCTTAAGTGATTTTACAGAATAATCTAATTAAAGGCGGTTAATATATTCAAAAGCTGCTTATAAACTAATTGTCTATACCTATCTTGAAACTACTGAACCGATTTAGAAAAAACATTCATTGTTCCATAAATTCAAAAATACATGAACAATTTAAACCTCATAAAGACTATACCATTTTAACGAAGATATAGTTCAAAATGTTATACATATAGTTTAAAATGTTAACCACCTTTTCGAAGTAGATTTAAATATGAAAATTCTATTTTACGATACCTATTCCTATTTTATTACTTACTAGCTTTTGCCCGCGACTTCGTTCGTGTGATATAGAATTGCTTAAATGGCAAGTATCACGATACGAAACACAATTTTCAATTTTATTAATAGCATAATTCACGATATCGGAATAAAATTACTTTCATGTTCAACTTCCAAGACACTACCACAAAAAGCTATATGTATTAATTTATTTAAGATACAGCAACAGTTATACATGTAATTAACCAACTTATGTCCAATATGTTACAGTACTTTATCTCCGAAAACTTTAGTTATTTTATTATCCTATTCAAAATACAGATGGAAAGAAAAACACAAATCTAATAACCACACAAAACTACACAAATTTTTTGAACAAAACAATTACGCAGTTTATTTAAATATAAAAGTAATCTAGCATCACCGTCATCAGCCCTTTTATGTTCCCACTGCAAGATCTTAGGCCTTCATTATGATTATGAAACATCTGTACAATTTTAATCTAAAGACATTGTATTCATTCGAGGTTTATTTATACCTATATCACCCAAAGATTTTATACCCAAGCAGCGGCAAGCAGAACTATTTTTAATAAAATACATTTTGTTTCAGATCTGGCACATATCGAGTAAACACTGGAAGAAGATATCCATTTTGATTAAACAATAACACTTCTTTTCTGGAATATTTTTACTATAATATATTTTACTGCTGTCAATATTGTTGTTTTCTTTTTACAATATAAATAAGCAATAGCGCATTTAATGCGAAAATAATGAATATTATATAGTACATACATACATATATGTCGCATCATCTTTACGAAGATCGTTTGATTTAGTTTCTTTTATTTTAATTGCTAGTTACTCGATTACTTAATTACTTGATTGTAGAGAGTGCATTATCATCGATACTTTTAATTTTGTTAGAATGGTGACACTGGCTTTGACAGTTCGTTAACAAAAACCAAATTGCCGCCATTTTCGCACACATTCTGATTCCGATCGCCGAGGAGTAAAGACATCCGACGACATCACGCTCATCTCGTTATATTTTCGTAAGAAAAATGATGAAATGGAATAAATCTACGTTGGTATACACGCTTGCAGTGTTATTTTAAGGATAGTCCTCCGATATGGACGATCTATTTGGGCTTCGTAAAAGCCCCATCGGACTACCCGCCGACATATATATCCGTCAATCTGTATATTTTAGGGATTCTATACAATGCCAATAATTGCTTTTAATACGTCAGCTACAAGAAATTTCCATATAAAATCTCTACGCAGGCCTAAATTAATATTAAATTGAATATAACCATATGTGTGAATGATGGTGCCGTTAGCTGCACATAATTGGTAATTGGTCTTCTCTCGACGATCTCGAAGCGCAGATCTAGGGAAGACACATAAGTCGCTTCCTGTGTCCGCTAGAAACTGCATTTTAGACTTATGATCTGTGATGAAGAGGCGACCAGTAGAGGTTGGGCAATCATCCGTCGCCATTATTGACTGCCCTGCCCGTTTTCCGATTTGTAATCACAAGGACGGAGGCATTGCCTTGTTTGATTGCCAAATTTAAATAGTACCAGCATTGTGGGAATTTGCGATAGTTGAACTGTGATCTCTTTGAAGGTGTTCGTTATCGACTATGATGCGATGTATGTCTTTGATGGGAACGCGAACGACTCTGTATCTCGGCAGTCAGTGCTTCAACTCTTTTTGTAAGCTCTGTCATAGTTCGAGCTATTTCTTTTAAAGGTGATCCTGTTCCTGTACTGATAGTTGCTATTTAAGGTGATGTAGATGCGATATCATGTACTCTGTCTGCTAATTTTGCTAATTTGGTTAATGTAAGACTCAATTGTGATGCTATAACTGTCTGGAGATTGTTAGGAAGACGGCTTGTCCAAATGGTTCTTACGAAGTTTTCTGGAATGTTAGGGCCTGCCAACTGCTGTAGGTGTCGTAGATATTGAGATGGTTTACGATCATCAAGTTCTTCAGACTGGAGGAGCTGTTTAAATTTCCTTTCGCTAGACATAGACAATCTTTTTATTAATTCATTTTTAATTTATCGTACTTGCCTGCCCAAGTAGCACAAAACACCATTATATCAAACTTATGATAGCACGAGTCCAAGCGTTAAGCATTATAATAAAATCGTATATCAACCATATTTCTTTTAAACGACTCTTATACATAAAATTTGGGCCCCCCCTTTGTACGACTTAATAAAAGCTGTGCAATAGCACTACAACTTTTGTATAATAGCATTAATAAAGTCGGGTAAAAGCATTCTAATAGCCACAAAAAGTTCAATTAGCACCTTAAAGTGCTAATTGAACTTTTTGTGACTATATTACAATTGATATGCGTAAATCAAAATTATAATACGTTAATTTAATATTATAAAAATGCTTACAGTTTTATTTCCTTTGTAAAAAAGTATATTTAATAGATTTTAAAAACATATAATCGGTTTAAATTATTGTTTTGTGTAAGTGTCATGACATGTTCTCTTGGCTGGTCTTTTAAGTATTTTTGAATATTGATTTAAACAGCTCGTTTTGTGTGAAATAAGCTGCACACATCAGTTTGTGGAGTAAAATATACAAGTTTATGGTGTAAAATACACGCGCCTTCGCAAACTTCCTTTAATATAATAAAAATCATAAAAAAATTAACCTAGTAGCAAAATTTTTTGTTGAATTTTAGGCTTTTTAACATTGTTTTAACAACATAATTGCTTTTAAAGGCATCTGTGCACAAAATAAATGATTATTTACCCCTTTTCATCTGACACAGTTGACTTTAAATATTTTGTAAGAATTGGAAAAAGAAAGCAAATGGCGACTCGTAAAATTAAAGCATTAGGTATTCAAATATGGTGTAGTAGAGCTGTTAATCGTATTATGGTTAGACACAAAACTAAGAGCTCGTAATTCACCGTATAACACACTCCCATTTTAGTTACAGCCGTATTTTTACACTTCAAAAGTATCTTATAGTGCTTATAATCATCAAACGATTATTTCATTTTTATTTTGATTTTTAAAAGCTTCAATTAAATTAGAATACTCTTTTTTCAGTTTCCATTTATATCCACCTGTTTTCTTTGTTTTTCCCAACGTTTTTTGTCCATGGCGCCAGCGATGCGTATAAAATGCCACCATTACAATATAATACATAAAATAATTTTACATTTTAATTTCACATAAAAAATAATTACGATCTATTTATTACTTCTATCTCTATAAATAACCTTATATTGATCAAAATATAGCTTAATGTTTTATAAAAGCATAGATTAAGAAGATAAAGGAGCTTGAGCTTGATTAAAGAATACTTTAAGAACAAATCGGTGCTAAAGTTTTACTAGTTCTTTATTCAATGTGTATATAGGATAAGCATTAAATCGATACAACCATAGACCATTAGAAAACCTTTGTTTCTAGAAAATGACTAAATACAACTAAGTGCACTAAATAGTATTACGTTAATGCTTATATAATATATAATGTTTTTCATATCACCGAAATACGATAACAGCTTTATATTAATATTACCCAATACTTAAATAGGAGTTTTGACATTGGTATACTTTTTTTATTAACCATAATATGGCATTAAGCATTATTAGATAAAATAAATGTCTTTAAACAGATTCGAAACTTGACCAGAGCTGATTAAAAATGTTAGTATGACTTTAGGACATAAATCGGTACTTATTTTAGTTAATATATTATTTATGTGCTACTTGGGTGATGTTGGCGGTTCAGTTATAATGTCTTCCACTTCAACAGCGATCCAAATGCGAAATAACATAATACAATTTTGTAGTGTCATCCGTAATTCTAGCCATCGCAAA